AGATTATTTGTTTCAATGTAAAAGAGACTGTTGTACTATAACAAAAGGGTGTACAAACAATGGGCTTCGACGTCTCTTTCGAATACTGATTAGTTAATCACGTTGGTTACCCAATATTCTCTTAAATTACGTCATTTGGCAGTAGCTAACAAGTCATGAAATTAAGTCTTGTTCCATACGGGTGATTCGGAGCGGAGCAATGCAAACTCGGTACAAAAGATGTGTCAACGGGGAATGCTCGCGGTGAAATTGGCTATTTTGGCACCGGCTCACTTCATTACTTGCGATAGCGTTTTGACAATATATGAGGCCGAAAACTCCGCATTTTACCTACTTTATCACTTCATATTATATATCGTAATAAAGGTGAAAAACCTACGCGTGTTAACCTAAATACATGTAATTTCCAATAACTACAACTTTATTCTCTCGCACTTTCTTTTTTGAAAGACCCACGCTCAAATAGTTGGAGGTATAATTAAATTAAACGGTCTGGTAACTTCTATACACGAAATCAAAACAACATTTTTAAAGTCATCATGTATCTCCGCCAGGCATAAGTAGCGGCTATACTGGCAGATCATGAGTCCCATGAGGCAGTGGCCTCCTTCTGTGAAGCGGTGATGCTCTAGAAGAAGGTCGCCGAGCGTGATCGGGAGAGGGCAGATCCTTCGCGGCGGCGGGCGATCGGGACTCGGGGAAATTTGGCAGCTGCGAGGAGGACGACGGGGCGGTATGGCCCGCTTCATCGTAAGGAGGGGAGGGAGAGGACGTTCTCCTCCTAGGTTCTGGGGGGGTTCCGGTGCGCAAAGTCGATCCCGGATACCTCCCACTAGAGCACCCAAGCAGGATACCGTGGAGTTTTAGTCGCTAGCAGTCAAATAACTTATCCGCTACCCCGTGGCGTAGAGGTATCGTAGGACGATTTCCCCACGAAAAAAAAGTTATGTATTGACATAACCCCTTTTTTGTGTCTTTCGAATGTCATTGGACAGACGAAACACGAAAAAAAGGGATTAGCACAGACACCCGACTATGCTAATTCTTAGCAGTAGTTCTAAGTGATCACGTTTTTACAATACTGTGATTGGTTAGTGTAGCCATCGCTGAGGGACATCTTCTTAACATTAATCAGCACCTGACTCCAGAAAGTTTCATAACTTCTCACAGGTGACTCACTACGGCAAAAAGCTGTTTACAATTGTAACTCAACACAAAGACTCGCAATAAGCACGTAGAGAAAGATCTGCTGGCTCATTCCGTAGCTCAATTCGCAGAGAGATAGCCATGTTTAGGCAACAGAAGCTGGTTCGAGTATGGTTGGAACGAAGGATTTTTTTAGTGTTTGTTTGATCTTTGTGTCAATAATAATAATCAACGCCATCTTTCTGCGATTCGAGGTCAACCTCTCTTGTTACAAAATTTAATAGTTCCTGTTTCTTCTTTTAGTAATATATTGCCTATAATTATTCTATTGCTGGTAAAGCCTTCCCATGTTCCCTCGTATTCTCCAATTATTGGCATATTCTCTTTTCGTGGAATTCGTCGATTCACATTCCACTTGGCCTTGCTCGCTTTTGCTTCCCGTTTTCCAATAGTTATTATGTAATAAAATTAAATTAAAATCGTAAGCCGTAAGTAAAATACCTAATGGCGGTCATGAATGAATGTAATATTTTTTGTTATTTTCAAAAATAGTTTTATATTTATCATTCAATTCAGGAATAATGCGTTTTGACATTTACCCAACCGCAAACTAGATTGTGTCCTATTAACTTAAAAATAATATTACTTTTCTGATCCATGAAAACAATTTATATTTACTGTTTTGCATCACAAGTAACCACATCAACCGATATCACAGACAAGGGCTCGTCTCCGTGAAATTTAAATTCAACTTCATTCCATTTACAGTGAGACGGTTCAAGGTGTTAAATATAAAAATCAGCGTATTTTCTAGTGTACTTACTATAATTCATTACTGAACATTATAAAATAAAAAGCATTAATTAATTTCTCAATACATGATGCCTGTAAGAAACTAATTATTAAGTTTGTCATGGGTGGCTGTCATGGTAGAAAAGCCGGTTAATTCTAGACAAGATCTGCTGACTCGATACAGATCAAGTCAGCAGATCTTACGTATTTCAATTGAGGTACAGACCTCAATTGGTAAGGGCGGTAGCCACGGTGTGACAGCAGATGCTGGTTCAAGTCCACTCAGATAAAATTTTTTTTCGTGTTGTTCGATTTCTTTATCAATAATAATCACAAACTAGTGGAGTGTTTTCACACAAACAAAAATTGAACATCATAATAGTAAATCGGATATTCAATCAAATAAATATAAACAGGATTACTTAGCGATCGCTGTAAAATTGTAATCAAACACCAGCGTATTAACTTTTCTGTTATCATTGAGTTTTGTGATGGCGTTACGGACATTTGTTGTATGTCTACTCTCCTACTCTCGAATTTCGGTATCCATAGTTGCTAGAAACAACTTGAAGTATGTAGTAACTATATTGTACAGCAAATTGTACAGCGCTTCGAGCGTTCATTACTCATAGTAAAGGCGAAGATATTCACATTCTGTCCATTATTCACGTAAATACAATCATGTAGTTTCATAAATTGGTTGGTTACATATAATAAGAGTCACGTGTTTGGGGGATTTAAATACGAATTTGGATAGCTTCAAGGGAAAAATATATTGCGATAGATGATTTGCATATGAAGGGAATGAACAAAGAGAAAACAAGTGAAAGATGAATGGGATAAGAATATATAACAAGCCCAAATGAAGAGTCCAGGGAAAGAATTAACAAATTTATCTCAAAATGCGAATACGTTTTAAATTAATACCGCCATCTAGTTCGTTAGACGCTGAGCGTATGTTACCTGAAGCAGAAAAAGGCTAATGACGTCTAGTGTACTGAATAATCTCAGTACAGAGTACTAAAAAAACCGACCTCAAAAGTACGTGGAATTACGTCTATTTGCTAAGTTTTATTGAAATATCACCTAGTTCGTCACTATACAGGACTTGACACTGGAGATAATGAAAATCGGTTCTCACTACTCAAAGTATATGGAGAGAAAACCGCCTTGAAGTGAAGAAATAGCAAAATCAACCATTAAAATAATTGCTCCTAAATTAAAATTAGGCGCTATTTATGATAAAAATGAATTTTCATGCGTGAACAGCCATCTTTAGAGGTGGATGATTTTCTTCAAAATGAAATGGGACCACTATGGAAGTACCCCGTTTCCAACAAAAAAAGAATCATGAAAATCGGTTCACAAATACCGGACTTATCGCGTAACATATATAAAAAAAAAAAACATACAGTCGAATTGACAACCTCCTCCTTTTTTGAAGTCGGTTAAAAAATAACTGTTAGACAAAAAATGTTTGAGACTAGTTAGAAAAATTAAATAAGATGATTTATTTTCTTAGGAAATGAAAACATTTTTCCGGATTTATTTTCTTGATTTTTGTTTTGTAGACGAGGACACACCTTCGTCCAAGATAAATCACTAGGGTAGCACAAAGCCCAACACCATCAACGCTCGTAGTACAAAGCCCAAC